CACCGTGCGCTCCTGCGCCTCGTCCAGCACCACCACCCCGTACTGCCGCAGCAGCGGGTCCGACGTCATCTCCCGCAGCAGCATCTCATCCGAGCAGTACCTGCCATGGGCCGCCCCGTCAGCGACACCCGGCACACACCGTGTCCCCCCCCACCAGCGGCAGCCCCCCCCCCCCAGCCACCGCCTCCCCCCCCGGAGCTCCCAACCAGGCCAGGCTGGATTAAGGGATTACCCTGCAGCCGGAGCTCAGCAGGATTAGAGCGTGGTGTAACCGGTGCTGCGGCGCAGGCCCCGGGGCCGGTACCTGAGGATAGTCTCCGTGGTGCAGCAGTCCTCGTGGGGCACGCAGTAGCCCACCTCGTGGCCCAGGTTCAGGTCCATCTCGTCCGCCACGCGCAGGGAGAGGCTGAGGGCGGCCAGGCTGTGGGGCTGGGTGCAGGCCACCACCCCGTGGGCGAACTGCAGGGATAGGGCGTACTCCGCGCACCACTGCGGGATCTGCAGCGGGGAGGAAGCTGCTCAGGGACTGGGACAGCGCAGCCATGGCCCCAAGCACCGGGCTGCTCCCTTCCCATCCTCATCATGGAGCAGCGCCCGCCATGCTCCCAGCCTGGTTTGGGTTGAAGGGACCTTAAAGCTCCTCCAGCTCCAACCCCTGCCACAGGCAGGGACCCCTTCCACTAGAACAGCTTGCTCCAAGCCCCTGTGTCCAACCTGGCCTTGAACACTGCCAGGGATGGGGCAGCCACAGCTTCTCCAGGACACCCATTCCAGTACCTCACCCAGGGCAGTCCCCAGGGATCTGGCTGTTGGGGCCTTCCAGGAGCACCCAACAGTCCAGGCAGGACTTTCCCCTCTCTGTTATTGTCACTTCTGCACTCAACAACCTGCAAATGAGCCCCCAAACCTCCTCACCCCATGCCTGCAGCTTTCTGCCACCTTACAGCATGCAATAGCCCCGGCTCTCACATGAAGGACATGGGACAACAGCTCTGCCTCCACCTCCCCAGGGACAACAGGGCTGGGGGCTGCGTGTGGCCAAAGGCACCAGCTCAGCCAGAGCAGAGCCTCCAGGCCCTGTGTGACAGGACTCCAGAGGCATCTGGACAACGTCCTTCAGAACGTGCTTTACCTTGTGGTCAGTGGCAGGCAGTTGGACAAGGGCATGGGTGCAGGACCCACCATGCTCAGCTATAACCAGCATGGATGGAGCTGGAGTGGAGCAATGTGCCCGTCCTGGGCAGTGTCAGTGGCCAGCTCCACAAGACCCAGACCCTGCAGCAGCTGCAGGTCTAGGGCAGGGGCTCGAGCATCCTCGTATGGGGCCAGAGGGATCACAAAGTGTCCCAGGAAACCCCACGTAAGGGATGGGGCAGGAAGCGCTCAGAAGCAGGCACTGCCCAAGCACCCTCCAGGTGGTGCAGGATGGTCTCGGGGCCATGTGGGTGTCTCCTGGCCATGATAAGGGGGAAGGGACCTGGCCTGTGCATCACCTCTTCCCGTTCTGGGTGGGAATACCATGTCTGAGGGGTGCTGGGGCACCAATATGGATGGAGCCATGTCCCATGGGCTGCTCAGGGCACGGTGGCACAGCAGGGATGCCCCCAGGGCAGCTCAGCCCCGGGGCCAGCCCAGGCCAGGCCCCGCACAAAGGCTTTAGTCCTGAAATCTGGCACCCTGCGGTTGGCTGGTGCCAGGGGATCACGCCCAAGGGAGGAGGTTTGAGCACAGGGCCCTGGAGCCAACACCCACAGCTCCGAGCCTGGTGGCTGCCACGCAGCACCCAGTGCGCACCCAGCCCCGCACCCAGCCCCGCGGCTCCGGCAGCTCCCAGCAGATCCCTCCCCTGGCCAAAGTCTGCCTTATGGCGTCTCCGACGCCGCGCCAGGGCTGTCAACAGAACCAGCTCCGGGAGCACCCCGGCCCTGCAGCTACGTCCCGGTCCCGGTGCTGTGCCCTGCTCCCGGCTCGTGCCGAGGCTTTGCCCGGGGCCCCAGTGCCTGCCCTGGCACATCCTGGCACGGCCAGGCTCTGCAGCAGCCCCACACCGGGCTCACCGCGGGGCACGCTGCTGGGCACAGCACCTGTGGGGCCTCGCAACCCCCGTGCCCCCAAGCCAGATGATGCCATGGGGGAAGGAGCAAGGGCAGAGCATCCCTGTGCCAGGGTCCCACCTCGCAGCACCACAACACGGCCCTGCTCACCTGGGTGCTCTTGCCGGTGCCAGGGGGCCCGGACACGAGGACGATGCCGCTGTTGCCTTCCAAGTGCTCCATGAAGCTGTACTTGGTGGTCCAGACGGGCAGGTCCCGGCGCTGCCGCAGCAGCTCGTAGTAGCGGGAGGAGAAGGGCAGCCCATCGTAGGGGTTCACCTCCAGGTCGCCACCGCAGCCCAGCGCCGGCTCCTCCTCCTCGTCCTCCTCCTTCTCCAGCGCGGGGCCGGGGCCGTTCCGCCGGGGCGCGGACCCCGGGGCCCCGTTGCCGGCCATGGCGAGGACACGGCGCCGAGGCTGCAGGGGTGGGGAGGTGGAGAGGGGCGGGGACGGGCCGGGGCTGATCCCCACTCGCCCGCGTCCCTCGGAGGAGCCCGGTGCTGCCCACCGGCCCCTTACACCGGGGGGGACCTGCGGGGCACAGGGGACCCGGCAGGGCAGGCAGGGAACCCGGCTGGGGTGCGGGGACCAGGGGAACGCAGTTGGGGAACCACGGCGGGCTCTGTACGGGGACCGGGCCGGGGCGCGGGGCAGCGCGGACCCCTCGGAGGCAGGCGGACAGAACGGCACGGGCCGGGCCGGGGGCACAGAGGGGAGGGACGGACCGGGCGGGGCACAGAGCACCGGGAGCGGACGGGTCGGGGCCGGGTGTCTCGGGTCGGCCCCCCCGAACCGCGGCTCCGGCTCCGGCTCCGGTTCCGGTTCCGGTTCCGGTTCGGGCCTGTCCCGGCCACCGCTCACCTGCGCGCGCCACCGCCGCCTCGGGCCCAGCCGCGGGAGGCGGTCAGGTGACGGCGCCGCCGTCACGTGGCCCTGCCCGCGGCAGCCAATCAGAGCTCAGGGGCGGAGCCCAACTGCCGGTGGAGGCGCGACCCGGTGCGTGTGTGATCAGTGTCACCGGGGGGACCCGATCCTGGTGAGATCTCTGCCGGAGCCCGCCCCGAGCCCTACCGCCAGGCGCGCTCCCCCGCCGCCGTTCCTCCTCCGCGGGCCCGGAGCGCTGCCCGGCCCTGGCTGCGGTGCTCTCCTGGTGCAGCTCCGCGCATCCCGGTGCCTGTGCGGGGCCACCCGGTACCGGGCATCCCAGTGCCGGTCAGAGAGTGCCGGTGCCGGTCCGGTTATCCCAATTCCCGTGTTGAGCATCCCGCTGCCGGTCCGAGCGTCCTGGTGCCGGTGCTGTACAGCCGGTGCCGGGACCCACGCCCAGAGCGGGCGCTCTCCGCTCGCTGTGGCTCCCGGCGTGCGGTGGCGGGGCCAGCAGGTGGAGCTGCCAGACCGGCAACGGCCCGGCCCGGGCACGGAGCTCCCGCCGGCGCGGGGGCAGCTGGCAGAGACCGGGCGGTTCCTTGCGGGCCCCGGGACTTCGGCGCCGGAAGCCGCTGGGAGGTGTCCAGGATCCCCGGCTGCCGGCGGGAAGGGATGCTCTGGGCCTGGCTGCCGTTACCGGTTACAGCTTTGCCCCACTGCCTCTCGCACCGGCCCCAGCCGCAGCTCCCCAGGTGCAAGGTCCTGTGCCTGGGGCAGGGCAATCAACAGCACAAACCCAGGCGGGGGGATGAAGGGATGGAGCAGCCCTGAGGAGGAGGACTTGGGGGTGTTGGGTGAGGAGCAGCTCCCCATGACCCGGCTTCAGTGAGCGCTTGAGCCCAGACATCCCCCCCCCCCCCCATGTGCTGGGTGCACCCCCAGAGCGTGAGCAGCAGCTCAGGGAGGGGATCCTGCCCCTCTGCTGTGCTCTGGGGAGACCCCCCCCTGCAGCCCTGATCCAGCTCTGGGGCAGCAGCACAAGAGGGACGTGGAGCTGGTGGAGAGAGTGCAGAGGAAGCTGCGGAGCTGCTGCGAGGGCTGGAGGGGGCTCTGCTCTGGAGCCAGGCTGAGGAGCAGGCTCGGGCTGGGGGGATCAGCACGCGGAAGGAGCCTGGCGCTGCCTCAAGGCTCCGATGCAGATGGGAGAGCAGCAGCCAGGCCAGGGCAGGTCCTGGGTGCCGGGGCTCCTGAGGCCGTGTTGGGGGAGAGGGCTCGGCCAGCGCTGGCGCGGGGCGAGCATCCGGTCCCCGTGGCCGGCGGGTGTGCAGCCGGCGGGAGGAAGGAAGTGGCTGATGCTGAACCATTGCTTCACTCCCCATCCCGGTGCTGCCGAGAGCTCAGGGCTCACCGAGCCCTGGGTGCTGCCGTGCACCCCGCCAGCACTTGCACCGTTGAGCCCTGTGCACCGAGGGATGGGAGGGGGCATCCTCGAATGGAAAGGCTGAGGCCATGTCCCAGCAGTGCTCATGTGGAGCGGTGTGGTTGGAGAGGGACTTCTGACAGGGACCTGGAGGGGCAGGACAAGGGGAATGGCTTTAACCTGCCAGAGGGGAGACTGAGATGAGCTCTTAGGCAGAAGCTCTTCCCTGTGAGGGTGCTGAGGCGCTGGCACAGGGTGCCCAGAGAAGCTGTGGCTGCCCCATCCCTGGCAGTGTTCAAGGGCAGGTTGGACACAGGGGCTTGGAGCAAGCTGCTCCAGTGGAAGGGGTCCCTGCCCGGGGCAGGGGTTGGGGCTGGAGGAGCTTTAGGGTCCGTTCCAACACAGTCTGCGATTCTATAGTCCGAGCCCAGAGATCCCTGTGCTTCCTGTCTGGAGCTGCTCTTGCTCCCCGCTCCAGCCCCGTGTCCTGCTCTGCCGGGCTCTGGCAGCAGTGCTCAGCTGCAGGGTCTCACGATGCAGCAGCATCACCCGAGGCCAGTAGCCCTATCACACCCCGCGGTCAGCACCGGGGACCCATCAGAGCCCAGGCCCTGGGGGCTCCATCCCCATCACCCAGCACGGTCCGGGAGGGCCCCGGAGCCCCCCCTCTGTGCGCTGAGGAACCGGAGGTTTGCACAAGCCGGTGAGCCCCACGTGACCCGCGAGCAGCGCGGCGGCAGGAGGAACCCACGGCCGCCCCGCGCCCGGTCTGCACGGCCCCGGCCATGGCCCCGTGGCTGCCCACCAAGGAGGAGAAGTACGGCGTGGGTGAGTCACGGCACCGCCGTGTCACGGCGTGGCTTGGCTTGAAGGGACCTTAAAGCTCCTCCGGCCCCAACCCCTGCCACGGGCAGGGACCCCTTCCACTGCAGCACCTTGCTCCAAGCCCGTGTCCAACCTGGCCTTGAGCACTGCCAGGCATGGGGCAGCCACAGCTTCTCTGGGCTCCCCGGAGGGGTGTGGGGCTGGGCGATGCTGACAGTGACCCCGTGGCCCCACAGCCTTGGGCTAAGACACGGCGGGTGATGGTGGTTGGGCGATGGTGACCAGTGCCACGGTGCAGGAAGGGACCGTGTGCCCCTGATGCTGGGGCAAGAATGAACCCCGGGGCCACTGGGGGGCTGTAGAGTGGGTGATGGGGACCCAGGGCACGGGGCTGAGAAGGGTTGGTGATGGCAGCACCCATGTCCCTGGGGCAGGGCTGATGCTGAGTGGGATGGGGAGTTGTGGGGAGCTGTGGGGCTGGTGCTGGTTGGGATGGAAAGCTCTGAGGAGCGGTGAGGCTGTGGGGCTGAGCAAGCCTGGTGTTGGCTGGGATGGGGAGCTGCTGGGAGCTGTGGGGCTGAGCGGGGCTGGTGTTGGCTGGGATGGGGAGCTGCTGGGAGCTGTGGGGCTGAGAGGGACTGGGCAGAGCTGTGGGACAGGGACTTGGCACGGGATCCCTGCAGAGCTCTGGGTTGGGCTCAGCCTGTTGAGGGGCAGAAGCCTCCACCCGAGCGGTGCTCAGTGTGTTAAGGCAGTTGCTGGCACACGGATGAGCTGCTCTCGAGGCGGTGTCTGGGGCACCCCGGAGCCACCGCTATAACTTACCCCAGTTCTATGTGAGCACTCGCTCCCCGTGCCCCGCACCGGCCGTGGCAGCCCTGTTCCTGTTCCCGTTTCTGGCCGGGGCCGTTCCCGTCCCCCGCCCCTGCGCCCTGCCCAGGCTCTGCGGCAGCACCGGAGCCAGCGCTGAGCCTGCGGGGTCCTGGGCAGCGCTGGGGCTGGGTCCCTCTCGTGTCTGCTGGAATCCTGCCCTGGTTGGGCCTGGGGGTGGGAAGGGGCTGGGGCTGGTCCCCGTGAGCACGGCAGGGGGCGGGAGGGGGGGTCCCGTGGCACCTCAGGACTCCGGTGCTCCCGGTGCGCTGTGGCCCGCGCGGGGGGCCCGGCTCCGGGGGTGTCCCAGGATGAGCGGGCCTTGGCCGGGGCTGGGGGTGGGCACAGGGGGGTCGGGTACGGCCGCAGGGTCTGATCCCGCGGTGCTGCGGCCAAGCCCGCGCTGGCTCCGCCAGGCAGAGCTGTCCCTGTTCCCCCCGCCAGGAAGAGCGGCAGCGCAAGCACAGAGCGGAGGGTGCAGCCCCGCTGCCCCGCTCCTGCTCCTGCTGTCCCTGTGCTGCAGGGACCAGGGTCCCTCCCACCCTGCTCCGTGCCTACCTGGGGGTCTCACCCCGTCTGTGTGGGGTTGGGACCCCGCACCATGTCTGGGGGCTGAGCGATGCTCACTGGGGTGGTGCTACCTCCCATGGGGGGGCTGCCCATGGGATGCCCCAAAGGGCACTGTGCACAGGGCCTGGGGGGCTGCGCTGGTGATGGGCGTCCGAGTTGTGGCCCCCCATGGCTCCCTTCCCCTCCTCTGCAGCCGTGTGGAACTTCCCCCGCACGAGCGAGCATCACCTCGAGCTGCACATCGGGGAGACGGTGCACATCCTGCAGGCCTCCGAGGGTAAGGGGCTCCCTAACCCTGCCCCTGCCCTGTGCACCCTGAGCCTCGCTGACACCATCCCCTTCCCTCCCTGGCAGGCTGGTACCGTGGGTACTCGCTCAGGAACCGGGCTGCCTGGGTAGGTGAGGGCTGCTGGGGGGTGCAGGCACGGCGGTGTTTGTGGTGTCCCTGCTGGGGACACGCACCGGGCACCCTGTGGCATGGCCAGGTTGGGACCCTCTGTGGGAACTCCGGTCCTGGTGCAGGGAGCACCCACCGCAGCCCATCTACCACGGGGTGGGTGCTGATGGCTCTGGCTCCCCCAGGGCATCTTCCCGGCCTCGCTCATCCACCTGAAGGGTGCCGTGGTGGAGCGCAGGGGGTAGGTACCGGGCACGGGCACAGGCATGGCTGTGGGTGATGGTGCCCACCTCTGGTGCCGCAGGGCTGCAGGCTCCCTGTGCCCCTCCTTAGGGCAGAGGAGAGCGTGGTCCCCACCGAGATGCCCATGGTGCAGGAGATCACCACCACGCTGCGGGAGTGGGCCACCATCTGGAAGCAGCTCTATGTGGTGAGCAGCGGGGGGATGCGGGCCCTGGGGACACCAGGGCACAGGGGTGACGCGGGTGCTGCCACAGGCAGGGCAGATGGAGCGGTACGGTCGTGTGAGGCAGATGATGTGTGAGCTGATGGAGCGGCGCTCGCAGCTGCTGTCTGGGACGCTGCCCAAGGACGAGCTCCTGCAGCTCAAGAAGGAGGTGACCGGCAAGATTGACTACGGCAACAAGTGAGAGAGGGGATGGGGTGGAGGGGGACTGGGGGTCACCCCTCTGCTGCAGCGTCCCCACTGCCCTGTGGTGGCCAGTGAGTGTGCTGGTGGCTGTGCAAGGCACCGAGCCAGAGGCCAGTGCCTGGTGCCACTGGTTCTTGTCCCCTTGCCATGGATCTGCTGCTCGTGGGGACCCATCACCCTCTGTCCTGCGCCCTCATACCCCGTGCCCGTGCATGGGCAGGCGGGTCCCGGTGGGATGCACAGACCCATGTCCCCTCATCCCGTCCCCCGCAGGATCCTCGCGCTGGATCTGGTGGTGCGGGATGAGGATGAAAACATCCTGGACCCCGACAGGACCAGTGTCATCAGCCTGTTCCAGGCGCACAAGAAGGCTGCACAGACCGTCACGCAGCGCATCCATGAGGAGATGGTGAGCTCCTGGCACGCTGCCCCGCGCAGGGCTGTGCCATGGGGCTGTGCCGGGTGCTAACAGCGCGGTGCCCCGCAGAGCCCGCAGCAGAGCCCGCTGGGCTGCGGTGCCCGCCCGGCAGCGTCCCCCTGTCACAGCCTCTACCTCTGCGTGCGCAACTTCGTGTGCAGCATCGGGGAGGAGGCGCAGCTGCTGCTGGCGCTCTACGACCCGGTCCAGCAGCGCCTCGTCAGGTGGGACCCGGCCCCGGCACCCCGCGGGGTCCCCGGCCTGTGCCGAACCCCGGTACCGCTGGGGCAGCCGGTCCCTGTGTGTGGTGCGAGCTGGCAGGGCACGGGCACTGCCTTGCCGAAGGGCTCCAGCCCCTCTCGTGGTGTTTGCTCATGGGCTGGTGCTGGCAGCCTCATCCAGCACAGGAACACTGAGCCCCAGCTCTGCCGTCCCGGTGCCTGGTCCCCTCCATGGGCTCCTCACCCCATCACCTTCCCTCGCAGTGAGAACTATGTGATCCGCTGGGCCAGCACCGGGGTGCCCCAGGACATTGAGCTGCTCAACAACCTCAGGGTCATCTTCACGGTGAGCGCCCCCCCCCCCCCCCCCCCCCCCGGTGCTGGTGCTGCTGCTGGTGCTGCATTCTGTACCATGCACAGGCCCCTTGAGCCTCCACTGCAGCCCACGTCCCCTGCGAGCAGCCGCATCCGTGCTGCTCTCTCTATGCTGCTCTTTTCTCCCATCGTATCTGCACAGACCCCACTCCTGGCACCAGGATGAGGCATTCACCATGAGGCTTCCCTTGCAGCCCCCCTGCCCGGTGGCAGGTTTCTGGGTGTCCTCGCCCCCATCCCCACTCCGTCCCTCTCCGCAACAGCTCCCGTGCAGCGGGAGGTGCTGAGGCAGCATTTTCCCTGCTGCGGCAGCAGGGCTGGGCTGAGCTGACCCTTGTGAGGGCCGGGGAGGAGCCGTGGATACACAGAGGTGCCAGGAAGGTCTTTGCTAAGAGCAGCAGCAGCAGCAGGTCCAGCTCCCTCGGCTCTGCCGCCTCTGCCCCTGCTTGCTGCTGATGCCGTGACCCCATGTGCTGCAGCGTGACCCTGCCCCATGCTGCAGCCCCTTGGAAGGTTCTCACACAGGGCAGCACCCACAGGACCTGACCCCAATGGGTGCTGGAGCCCGTGGCCACCCCACCAAGCAGAGGGGTCATGTCAGACCTGCTCCCTCCCCAGGCACTGCCTGGCCCAGGGGTGCCCCATGAGGCTGTTGGTTTCCACCAACCCATTGTCCCCATCCCTTGGGTTTGGGGTGATGCAGTGCATGGACACTGCACCCACTGGTTCATGCCCTGGGTACCCCACAGTCACCCGGTGCCACCCGAGGCACATCCCCACGTGGTGCTGCCCGAGCCAGGCTCACGCAGCCCCTTGTCCCCCGCAGGACCTGGGCAGTAAGGACCTGCAGCGGGAGAGGCTGCTCCTGGTGTGCCAGATCATCCGGGTGGGACGCATGGACCTGCGGGAGAGCCACAGCTGCAAGCTCAGCACCGGCCTCCGCCGCCCCTTCGGCATCTCAGGTGAGGGACTGGGAGAGCCCCAAAGCGCTGCCCAACCCAGCACCCTCAGAACACCCCTTGGCCACCCGGCTCCATGGGGCTCCCAAAGGGTGCTGAGCATTGGCACAGGCTGCCCGGGGCAGGGCTGCAGTCACCATCCCTGTTCACACACCGTGGAGACAAGGCCTCAGTACCATGGGTCAGGGGTGGCCGGTGCTGGTTGGACTGGATGAGCTTAAAGGTCTTTTCCACCCTGGCTGGTTCTATGATTCCACGGAACAACTGCCCCGGGTGCTGCTCCTGGGAGGGTTTTGCATAGAGGGTCACCCACGGCAGCCACCCAGTGCCAGCACCTCTGTGCCACTGCAGTGATGGACATCACGGACATCACCAGGGGGAAGAGCGAGAGCGACGAGGACAAGCAGCACTTCATCCCCGTGCACTTGTGAGTGCTGGGGCAGGGTCAGGGGCCCAGTGGGACTCAGGGTGCTCTGGGTGCTGGTGCCTGGCTGTGGGCAGCAGCATGTGGGGCACCCGGTGGGGCTCTCCCCAGGTCACCCCTCCCCGATACCCACAGGGCCACTGCTGACAACGATTTTCTTCACAACATGATCAGGAAAGCGGTGGAGGGGAAGGACATCAACCACAAGGGACAAGGTAGAGCCCCCATGTCCCTTATGTCCCCAGTGTCCCCCATGGCCACGCTGCCGGCACAGGGATGCTGACATGGCAGCAGGCACGGGTGTGTGCTTTGGTGCTGGGTGCATCCGGGGCTCCGTGTGTGGATGGTCCAAGCCACTGGGATCCATCACTGGGATCCACCACCTCCCAGTGAGCTGAAGCTGAGCCAGGACCCCATGGGGCTGGTGACCGGGCACGGCTCGGGATGAGCCGGCCCAGGCCCTGGGGCTGACGTCCCCCCTCCGGCCTGCGCAGGGTTCTGGGTGTCGCTGAAGGTGCTGTGGGGGGACGTGGGCCACGTGCGGAAGCAGCACCCGCACCTCGTGGACCGCAGCACGGTGCTGGCGCGCAAGCTGGGCTACCCCGAGGTCATCATGCCAGGCAAGCGGCGGCGGGGGGACCCCGGGGGGGGCCTGGGGTCTCAGCCTGGGCTGTGGGGAGCCCCATTGCAGAGGGACCTGGCCGTGCTGCTGGGGCTGTGCCCCCGGAGCTGCTGGAGTTGCTGGTAACCGTTTGTGGCTTCTATTTGGAACCGAAGGGAAAGGCGGAGATAATGATGTGGGGTTTGCACAGGGAAACAAATCCCTGTTAAGTACTCGTGTCCTCCGCTGCTCTGGGCTTCCAGCAGCTCCCCGGGGCTCTTTGCAACCCCTGATGTAAAGATCCCAGCAAAGACATTCCCAGCCCTGCACTGTAGTAAAGAAACGGGATGCAAGTGGGAGAAAGCTCCTTGAGTTGTGCTTGGGGTTGGAGGGGTTTGGTTATGGGCAGGTGCTGTGAGCTGCTTCCAGTTAATGGGAGTCTGCCTGGAGGAGGGAAAGACAGGAGCCACATTTGGATGCTGGGGAGGGACCTTCATCAGGGACTGCAGTAACAGGACCAGGGGTGATGGGTTCAAACCGAAACAGGGGAAATTCAGGTTGGAGATGGGAGGAAGCTCTCTGCTATGAGGGTGCTGAGGCGCTGGCACAGGGTGCCCAGAGAAGCTGTGGCTGCCCCATCCCTGGCAGTGTTCAAGGCCAGGTTGGACACAGGGGCTTGGAGCAAGCTGCTCCAGTGGAAGGGGTCCCTGCCCGTGGCAGGGGTTGGAGCTGGAGGAGCTTTAAGGCCCCTTCAGCCCACCCCATGCTGTGATTTCTGTGTGATCCTGAGTTCCGCGTGGGTTTTGCTGTGGCTGCCCCAGGAGACGTCCGGAACGACATCTACGTGACACTGGTGCAGGGTGAGTTCGACAAGGGCAGCAAGAAGACACAGAAGAACGTGGAGGTGACGGTGTGCGTGTGCGACGAGGACGGACACGTGCTGCAGGTACTGGCTGGAGCACCAGGGCTGTGCCCATGGCTCTGCCTCAGGCACGGCCAGCGGCCCTTGGTGTATTGGTGCCAGTGCTGGAGCCAGCATGGCCCGGCTGGAGCAGCCCCTTTGGTTACTGGGGCAGCCTCTCCGGTTACCGGAGCCCCTGTAGCTGCCCTTGAGAATAAAGCTCCGTGAAAGCGGTGGGAAGGGATAGAGAGGAAATCCTCCTCCTGCCCACGGGGAGAGCCAGAGCCCGCGGCCACCCCGCAGCCCCCGGGGATGGGGTGTCCCAGCTCTCCATCGATGGGAGAGGCAGAGGCAGGAGGAAGGGATCTGGAGGGTTCAGGAGGCTGGGGGAGGCTCAGACCCTGTTCCCTGCCCCAGGGCTGTTCATTGCCTGTTCTCTCCAGGCTGTTTGCCTTCCATTTCAAACATAATTCCCAGCCGGCCCCTGCGGGACAGGCTGTGGGTTGCTGAGGGTCCCATGGGTGGCCCCACCTCCTTCTGCATCCCTGAAAATGCCCTTCCCAGGGCAGTGGAGGTGACGGGATGGGGATGGGGAAACCTTCTGCTGCCTTCTGAGCCTCTCTGGCATAGGACAGGGGAAGAATGTCCCTGTGCTGGCTGGTGGGGGGCGAAGGGGCAGCAGTGCTGGGGGGCTCAGGCAGGACTCTGAGATGTGAACAAGGGCTGGGGGGGACACCACGGCCTGACCATGCTCTGTCCCCCCGCAGAACATGATCTACCCTGGCGCAGGGGTCGGGCCGACCAGCGAGTACCGCTCTGTGGTCTACTACCAGCAGCGGCACCAGCGCTGGATGGAGACGGTGAAGGTCTGTCCTGGGGCCGGGGGCAGCAGGACCCGGCTGCTGCGGGGGGTCCCCATCAGGGGTGATTTTCAGGGTCCTCAGCTCAGGGAGCTGCTGCCGGTGTCCCGGGGACCCAGGGCCCCCACACTGGGTGCTGCATCCCTGATGATGCTCCTGCACCGCCACTGCTCCCCATGGGCCTGTGGCCGTGCACCACCAGCCCTGCACAGCACTGGGGGCTGTTCAGCACCGCTGGCTCAACAGGGAGCACGGGGTTCGGGTGGCAGTGAGGGATCTTGCCCAGCTGGGCAGCTCCTCACACAGGCTCCATCTCCTCTCCCAGATTGCTGTTCCCATTGAGGACGTCCACAAAACCCACCTGAGATTCACCTTCCGGCACCGCTCCTCCAGTGACTGTGAGTGTCCCCTTGCTTTGAGAATTCCTGCTTGAGCGAGGCCAGAGGAAGCCACGGAGCTGCTGTGAGAGCAGCTCCAGCGCCTGAAGGGGCTCCAGGAAACCTGGAGAGGGGCTTGGGACAAGGGCCTGTAGGGACCGGGCAAGGGGAATGGCTTGAACCTGCCAGAGGGGAGACTGAGATGAGCTCTTAGGCAGAAACTCTTCCCTGCCCATGCGGTGCGTCCACCCTTGGGCTCCTCCTCACCCCATTCTATGTCCCAGCCAAGGACAAAAGTGAGCGGATCTTCTCCATGGCCTTCGTGAAGCTGGTACAAGCAGACGGCACCACACTGCACGATGGGGAGCACGACCTGATCCTGTACAAGGTACGGACACATGCACACAGACACATAGACACACACACAGGGATACAAATCCCCACTGATGTGGGGTTGCTGCAATGGGGCTGTGTCCAGGTCCCTGCTGGAGCCGCTGTGCTGCTGGCACATACCCGACATTCCCCAAAGGGTTCCCAGTCCTTCCCTGCCTCCCTCCCGTCCTTTCTGTCCTCGGGGGGGGCTCCTGCCGCGCTCCCTGCAGAGCCTCTGATCCCTTGGGAACGTCAGGTTCTGTTCAGAGAAAGGTAACATGGATGTAGGTGATGTGGGAGGGGACGTCCGCAGTCGGGTATCTGCTGCACATTGCTTGGCTTCACCAGCGGTGTTCCCTGAGGAACTGCTTGGGTATTTTGGGAGAGCAGAGGGAGAATGTGGGGAAGGAAAACTCAGCATTCGTTTGGAAAACACACTCTGATGCCAGAGTGTGAATGACCCCAGAAGCACTGCCCCCCCCCCCCCGCCTTGGTGTCCCCCTCCCTTGCCTTGGTGTTCCCCCATCCCGGACTGGGTATGGGGAGTGGGAGGTCTGAGCTGGTCCCCACGACAAGGCTGAACTCAGAACTCACCGTGTGTGGCACCACCTCAGCCCCTCGCTGGCCGTGGGGCTCCATCCTCCCCAGGACGGGCCCTTCCCTCCCCAGCCCCTCGCCTGCTCTGGTTTTAGCTCGGATTTCTCTGCTGTTCCTGGTGACCCAGGTTAGACCCATCTCCCTCCTGAGCCCTGCATCTCCCTGGCGTGAGCAGATCTGTCCCATTGCTGAGCCCCAGCCAGCACTTCCACGAGTTTGATGGAGAAATTCTTCCTCTTCATCACAGCGTTTCCCTCTTGGCATCTTCCTTGTAGCCCCTTCAGGCACTGGGAGCGGCTCCAAGGTCTCCCCAGAGCCTTCTTTCCCCCCGGCTCTCAGCCTGGCTCCGGAGCAGCTCAGCACGTGTGAAGCTGTTGTCCTGCCGCTCCTCCCTGCTCTTTCCGGGCCACCTCCCCGCGGTTCTTCAGGTGCTGCCCTGGCTGCAGACCCGGTCCCGTCCCCCCCGCTCCGCGCTGCCGCAGGAGCACCGGGCGCCGCCGGGACCGGCCGCTGCCGTCGGGGTCAGCCCCTGCTCCGCCGCCTCGGTGCTGTCCCGTGGGAGGGCTGGCGCTGCCCTCCCTGACCCGGCGCGTTCAGCAGCGCCCTCAGCCCGGAGCGGGGGAAGCTCCGTCCTCCGTCCCCGCGCTGGCTCCTGCTCTTCCCGGCACCTGCCGGGGCCTGGCCCCGGCGCCCGGAGCCGTTTCCGTGCCTTCAGCCCCTCGGAGCTCCCGATCTCGTTGCGGTCCGTAACGCGCCGGCTTGAGCCGCCCTCGGAAGCCGCGCGGGGCTCCAGGAGCAGCCAACAGCGAACAGCTCCGTGCTCGCCATGCAGGGAGAGCATTCCAGGGAGCATTCCAGAGGCAGGGCTCAGGCAGGGGCGGGGGATGCCCCGTTACCGAGCCGCAGGCGAGCGGCGCAGCAGCAGCCGGTCCGGGCCTCGGGCCATCCACACGTCCCCAGTGAGTCCTCCTGGGTGTGACTTCTTCTTAGTTCTTCAGCTGGAGAGCAGGGACACAAAGAGGTTGTTCTGCCGCCATGGAGAGACCCTGGCTGGCGCTGGTGGCAGGAGCATCCCACGTTGGGATGCTGCTGGTGATGCCGTGGGACCGGCTGGTGTCCAGCTGCGTGTCTGTCCCTGGGGCACGGCTCTGCCATGGGCTTCATTCCCGGCCCCAGGCTCCTCTGTGTCACCAGCTCTTCCTCCTGCCCTGGGCTTCATTCCCAGCCCCAGGCTCCTCTGTGTCACCAGCTCTTCCTCCTGCCACTTCTTGTGCCCTCCTGGGATGCCACTGGCTGGGATGCAGCATTGCTCTGGTCAGTGGTCCCAGTGGACCATGGGCAGGGAACAGCTCTGTGGGATGCTCTGTTGAGGCTGATGTTGGGTGAGACCCTGCGCTGCCTGCACTGGGCTCTGCCACCCCTTGGGATGGCTCCCACATCCCATCCATGAGGATGCCGTCAGTGGGAGCCACCGTTACACGTGTGGCTGTGCCGACCCCCTGCCCTTGTCCGCTCCGCACAGGGACATGACGTGGGGTCAGATCCCATCCCATGGGGCTCCTGTGGGGCTTCCCAGTGTGAGCCGTGCTCTGCCCTGCAGGGGGACAGCAGGAAGCTGGAGGATGCCAGCGCGTACCTGGCCCTGCCCTCTTTGCGGAGCCCGTCTGAGCCCAGGCTCCTCTCCAGCTCCTCTTTCCGTGTGAGCAGCGGCACGTCCGGCCTGACCGTGTCTGCCCGGGACAGCTTCCAGATCTCCACAGTCATCTGCTCCACCAAACTGACCCAGAACGGTGAGTCCTGGGTTCGGGACTGCGCTTCCTGGCAGCCAGGAGCCGCCCCGGGATGCTCCCGTTGCACGTGGATGCTGGGAACACAGGCAGAGCTGGGGTGGAGAGCACTGAAGTACCAGCTGAAGTGGCTGGGGACACCCAAGTTTGCTGTGCTGCTCCAGCATGGCTCCTATGGGGTGCTGGGATGGGATGTGCTGCGCTGCAGCTCTGTGTCTCCATTGCTCCGGGCTGTAATTCAGAGGGTTTCTCATTTTCCTTTCCTCATTTTGGTGAGTTCTCTTTGGCTCCTTGGTCTCCCGAGGCCTCCTGCCTCAGCAGCACATCAGTTTTCCGAGGCAGAGGAATGGGAACATCAGGCTCCAGTGTTCCAGGCGTGCTCCTGCCTCAGGGCTGCAGCAGCCGCTGTGGGAAGCTGCAGCTCCTTGGCTGGATGCCCCATCCCTGGCAGTGTTCAAGGCCAGGTTGGACACAGGGGCTTGGAGCAAGCTGCTCCAGTGGAAGGGGTCCCTGCCCGTGGCAGGGCTTGGAGCTGGAGGGGCTTTAAGGTCCTTTCTAACACAAACCAGTCCAGGATTCCCCTGGCCTGGGGCAGCACCGCATCCCCTGGGATGGGGCCTCTCCCCGTGTCTCTGGCTGCCCTTGGCACTGAAGGTGGCACTGGGAGCTGGGGGCTGGTCCATCCAGGTCTGGAGCAGGTGAAGCTGTGCTGATGCTCCCATTCCTCCTGCAGTCAATCTCCTGGGGCTGCTCAAGTGGCGCTCCAAACCCAGCCTCCTCTCCGAGAACCTCCAGAAGCTGATGTCCGTGGATGGAGGGGAGGTCATCAAGGTACAGCCGGGACCTTCCCCACTCCCCGTGCTGGGATCTGCCCTCCCACCTCCTCCCCTCCCTGCTCCTGTGCTCACAGCCCTCGTGTCTCGCACAGTTCCTGCAGGACACGCTGGATGCCTTGTTCTCCATCATGATGGAGCACTCGGACACAGATGTCTATGACACACTTGTCTTTGACGCACTGGTGAGTGGGACCCGCATCCCCCCGTGGGCTGAGTGTGGCTCTGACCCGCTGACAGTGCAGGATGGGCTTGGGTCAGACGGGCGGGTTTGTGATGGGATCACTGACCTGACCAATGCTCAGAGCTGTGCATTGCCCCCGGCTCCACTGCAGTGCCCATAGAGCCCGGCTGACCCAGCACGGGCAGGTCTGTGGCTCTGTGGGACTCTGTCCCCACAGGAGACAACCCCAGGAAGAGCCAAAGGTCACTTGTCTGCTGCATCAAGACGAGTGACCCCAGATATGGGGCTGGGGAGGGTCGGGGTCAGGGCAGCTGCTGGAGGACACAACGCATGGGTTGGTGATGGTCCAAACTCTGCACCAGTTGCCCATGAGGTGTCCTGTGGCCGCTGGGCTCAGGCTCACTTTGGGCTTTCCACCTCGGAGCTCTGCCCATGCTGGCAGTGGGGGGTGGGCAGAGGCTGTGGTGCCCCCAGCAGCCCCTATGTGGGGTCATGTCCCAGCACCCTGCTGCTCCCCCCGAGCCGTGCCCCCTGCCCCCAGGTCTTCATCGTGGGGCTGGTGGCTGACAGGAAGTTCCAGCACTTCAACACCATCCTGGAGACCTACATCCGCAAGCACTTCAGTGCCACGCTCGCGTACAAGTGGGTACCCGGCGGCCGGGGCATGGGGATGGGACAGCAGGGACAGGGAGGGATGGGGATGGGACAGGGGGAACGGGGAGTGATGGGGATGGAGGGTGGGGAGCGCTGGTGGGAGCTGAGCCACGGCCCAGCGGCCATCCCAAAGGCTGCTTGGCTGAGTCCTGGCCACGCGTGTCCTGTCCCACAGGAAGCTGCTGTCGGTGCTGACGCAGTACGTGGAGCGGGTGAGCCGGGGCGAGCCCTGTGACCTGCTCCTGCGCACCTTCAAGGCCTTGGAGTACGTCTTCAAGTTCATTGTCCGCTCTCGGCACCTCTTTGCCCAGTAAGTGCTGGAGCCACTTCCCCCGGTGCTGGAGCCGCTTCCCCCGGTGCTGGAGCCGCTTCCCCCGGTGCTGGAGCCGCTTCCCCTGGTGCTGGAGCCGCTTCCCCTGGTGCTGGAGCCGCTTCCCCTGGTGCTGGAGCCTCTTCCCCTGGTGCTGGTGCCGCTTCCTCCAGCGCTGGTGCCGCGTGTGCCTGAGCATCATCCCCTGGCAATGGGGCCTGCAGGGCAGGACAGGAGGGGTCTTGGGGTCCCTGTGCCATGGGAGCATCCCTGGTGCCTGCCCCAGGCATGTGGGGAAGCCTGGGCAGCAACTGCCTTGTCCTGGCTCAGCACAAGCTCTGCAGGGGGTTGTGGAAGGGGCTTTGGACAAGGGCCTGTAGGGCCAGGCCAAGGGGAACGGCTTTAAGCTGCCCGAGGGGAGACTGAGATGAGCTCTTAGGCAGAAGCTCTTCCCTGTGAGGGTGCTGAGGCGCTGGCACAGGGTGCCCAGAGAAGCTGTGGCTGCCCCATCCCTGGCAGTGTTCAAGGCCAGGTTGGACACAGGGGCTTGGAGCAAGCTGCCCTAGTGGAAGGGGTCCCTGCCCATGGCAAGGGACGGAGCTGGAGGAGCTTTAAGCTCCCTGCAGTCCAAACTGGTCTGTGGTTCTGTTATAAGCAGTGTAAGGGGCTGGGAGCCTCGATAGGTCCTTGTCGCTGAGGACAAGGTCACAGCTCGCTGCTGGGGACCTCCAGAGCTCTCACAGGACCTGGTTTCACTTGTTCCCCGTGGGATGCGGTTCCTGTCTCAGTACGTGATGGCACAACAGGGCTGTGCCCTGCAGGCGGGGCTGAGCCAGGCCGTGCGCTGGGCTCAAGCGCGACTGCCCCGTTACCAGAAGCCGCGAGTCACGTTCCTCTTTCATTCCCAGTATGCGGCACCGAAAGCCGAAGTGTCCCCATGGAGCAGTGGGAGGCGCGGGCTCTGCCCGTGGTCGGTGGGAGCAGGGGGGGCTGCTCCTGCCCCCGGTCCTGAGCACCGCGCAGAGGTGCTGGGATGCGCTGTGGTCCCATCTGTGCTCTCTGCCCTGCTCATGGGGAGGAGCTGAGGAGGGTCCCGGCCACCCCAGGCCCCTCAGAGCCCCCTTTGCCCCTGCTGTCTCCCCCATCGCACTGGCAGGGGGGTGCAGCTCCTGCTTCCAGGTCTGGCAGAGCCCCCTCCCATCACCCTCCTGCCCCATGCAGCCCCTCCCTGGGGGTCCCGCAGGGCCCGGCGGCTGCTCCAGGGCTCTGGGATGCTCCAGCACCCGATGGAGGGATCTCCCTCCTCGTCACACAGAGGAAATCCCCAACTTGTAGAGCTGCCGGCACAGAAGGTGAATTGGATGGAGCAGCCAACCCTGGGAGTGCGTGCTGGCACAAAGCGCTCCCTGCAGACAGTCAGTGCTTTGATTCATCTTCCCTTTATCTTGGCGATCTCAACCGCAATAAGAGCTCCTCAGATCTTTTAAATGCTTTAAATGCTGCTACAATTTGTACGCATCTGCGATTGAAAGGAATTAGCTGTAATTACAGTAAGCTGCTGCAGATGCTGCGGCTGTTTCTGGATGCGCCGCTGGCAGCTCGAGCAGGATGAGGGTGATCGAAGGGAGCTCAGCTGGATCAGGACCCGAGCCCCTGCCTGGGGAAGGGGCTCCCTGGTTCGGGCAGGAGGTTCGGGAGCAGGGGATGCTGTGCTGCACCTCCAGGGACCAGGACCAGGGCAGGCGGGGACTGGTGGGAGCCCCCATGCCCATCCCCACATCGGGACCTGTCCTGTGCGCCCCACGGTAACTCCGAGCCCCGCCATGGCTGGGGTAGGGACCTGGGGCTTGGTGACACGCAGTGACACGATCCCCGTTCACCGCTTCCTCCCTCCCAGTTCCTGCGGCCACTTCTGCTTCTGCTGCAGGCGGGGGGGTTTCCTGGAGGTGCTGTTGTCACCCCAGAGTTCACCCCACACACGGGGGTACCCGCGGCCGCATCTCCCCCTCACCACCCCGGTCACTGCTCACAGTCCCTTGCTCAGCCCCTGTTCCTGCAGCCAAATCCCCCCACGGCTCCAGCACGGACCTGCTCATCCCCCCTCCTGTCCCCGTCCCCCCAAGTGCCCTGCGAGCACTACCCCTTTGCCCCTGTCCCCCAGGCACCCACTTGTGCAGCCTGGACCCTGCGGCTGCTGAGTGTCCCCAATGACCTCCATGGGGATGTCACTGGGGTCCCCAACAGCTCCTGCCGTGGTCTGGGCTGCAGTGGGGTGTCCTTGGGTGCCACATTGACCCTTCTCTGGCAGAGCAGGTAAATGAGAGGAGGCCACAGAGCTGCTGTGAGGGCTGGAGCAGCTCTGCTCTGAGCCAGGCTGGGAGAGCTGGGCTGGGGCAGCCTGGAGAAGAGAAGGCTCCTGAAGGGGAGACCTTAGAGCCATCGGGGGGGGGGGGGGGGGGGGGGGGGCGCTGGCTCAAGGGCTGGGCCCATTTTCCTGATGGAATCCTCCAACTCACAGCATCCCCATGGCCTCCTCTGGCCTGGTGGCAGCAGCTCCACATCCCTCTTGTGCTGCTGCCCCAGAGCTGGAACTCTGGCACTTCAGGACTGTGAACAAGTCTATTTAAAACCTGAAGAGTCCACGAGTGCGTGTGAGGGGGGTACCTGCAGCAGCAGTCTTTGGTACAGGTCACTGTGCACATAAGTGCTGGTGCCCAGCAGTGCCAGTGCTGGGTCCTGCTGCTGAATGCAGATGTGGAAAGAGTCACCAAGGAGTGTGGTGAATGGGGATCAAAGGTGGTGCTGAGCAGAGCATCGCCTGTCGAGGTGCTCAGCCCCGTCACCACGGTCAGCACGAGCCTGTCCCTCTGGCTGTTGCAGGCTCTACGAGGGGAAGGAGGCTGCCGAGTTCCAGCGCTCACTGCAGAGGTTCTTCCTGTCCCTGAACCAGCTGATGCAGTCCCCGCTGGAGGGCCCCACGCTGCTCTCCCAGGTACGGGTGCTGGGGGCCTCAGTGCTGGTGCGTGGTGGGTGGATGGTGCCGCAGCCATGGTGACACCGGCTGTGCCCATGCTGGGTGACACCGGCCATGCAGAGCCCCATGTGCAGGGTGCTGATGGGAGCTGCTGCGCCTGCAGGGTCCTGCCCCCCCCAGGCTTCCCGCTTGTGCCCCCCCAGCTGGAGACACCCCCCCCCCCCAGAGGGCTCAGACCTCAAATCCACACTGTGCTGGTGCCTGGGGCTGTGCTGGGCTTCATCACAGCTTGGTGCTGCTGCTGAGCCCCTGGGAGGAGGGTCCTGGGAAGGCTCCTGGTGCTCATCCCTGCTCTGGAGCTGGCCCAGACCCATCCCTGCCCCAGGGGCCTGGCTCCATGCGGTTCAGGAGGAGCAGGAGCGGTGCCTTGGGCACTGCAGGGTCCCTGGGCATGGCCATGGCCTTTACCAGCACCTGGTGCCGAGGTCCCTCCTGTGCCCATGTGATGGTGCTGGGGCTGGAGCCGAGCGGAAAACGCCATGGATCCATGGGTGCTCCATGATGTCAATCAGGGAGAGGAGGCAGGAGCTGGGGCTGGGGTTGGTGTCTCTTTGGTGCTGTGCCAGGGTGAGGATGGTGTCTGGGATGGAGAGAGGCGCATGGGGATCTCATCACACAAGCGGCAGCTCCTGTGTTGTATTATTTCATGGCAGCCTCAGTTAATCCCTTATAACCTAAACCAAGCAGTCTTGCAGACCACACAGCAGCCACCCTGCTGGGGAGGAGCAGGACGGTCCCTCCTTACCCCCTCTCCCATCCAAACAGCATCTTGTCCTGATTGCCATCTCAGTGTTGCTGCTGTAGAGACTGCTATGGAAACCACTGCAGCTTCCACCTGCGGCTCCCGCAGCTCCTAGCACCATGATCAGGGCTGCAGGGAACAGATCCTGCAAACGCAGCCCGAGTGGAGCCATGGTCCAGGCAGAGGTGGTTGGGAAGAGGCATCCCTGCAGCGGCTCCGGTGGGTCAGGGTAGCTGTGGTGGTGGTGATGGCACATTACAGCCATGGGCGTGCATGTGCAGCCGGATCCACCAGCCACGTGCCAAAGGGCTGCAGAGGAGGCCGAGGACACTTGGGAGAGGGGAAACCCATGTCTGGGATCCAGCTGTGCCGGGAGCCAACCGAGGTGTGGGGAGACACGGAGATGCTCTGGGGCTGGAGCACCTCTGGTCTGGAGACAGGCTGGGACCTGGCCTTGTTCTGCTGGAACACAGGTGATCGTGCCTGGCACTGGTCAGGGAATTCTCAAAGGTGGGAATTACCAGGAAGGGGCTCAAGAAGACACCGGCAAATGTCCTTTGCCACAGTGTAAGTCACTGTGTGCATCTGCGCTGGGTGTCCGTGCTTTGGAACCTGCAGTGGAGCTGGAAAGGCCCCAGTGAAGGGCAACGAGTGCACGAGGTGGGGTCCCAATGAGGGCAGGGCAGAGCAGAGCTGGGACATGGAGCTGTGGAATCCCTGTCTGGAGAGGGCGGGAGGCGGCGATGGCTGCTCCAAGGGCTGATCCTCGGGGAAAAACCCACCCAGGGTGGTTCAAACATGAAGAGCCTCTGCCTCGGGAGGCAGCTCAGGGGCCTGTGAGCCGGCTCCTTCAGGGGGGGATCAGGTGGATCTGCGGGCAGGGAAGCTCCTGCCGTGATGCTGAAGTGCAGGAGTGTGTGTGACCGTCCCAGCTGCACCCAGAGACTGGAGGGTCCCTGGCTCCAGGCTGAGGTCCGGAAAGGCTGGAAAGACCAGGGAAGCTGGGGACGAGCAGAAAGTGCAACATTTGTGCTGCTCAGTCACATCGTGGATGTAATGAGGGTGGTTTTAGTGCAGACCAGCTCGGGGTTGGTGTTTGCTGTTCCCAAACCAGGAAAACCCGCTGCAGTGCTGGGGTTACAGCAGCATGGCTGGGCCCTGCACACCCCATATCACCCCGTATCGCACTGCAGGGTATGTGTCCTGGTGTCACAGCGGGCTGGAGCCGGTGGTTGCGGCTGCCGTGGCAGAGGCGGTGACTGGGTTCAGTGATTTCGGGTGCCGGTGGCTCAGCAGGAGGAACCTGCTCCCCGTGGGATGCCTGCTCCCTGGGGATGGTGCCCGGGCTGCTGCTTTAACCAGAGGGGCTGGACACGGATGGTTCTGGAGCAGCAGCCGCAGCCTGGGGGGAAGCGGGGTCACCCCCCTGCCCGCAGCATCCAGCCGGCAGAGCGCGGAAGTGCCGGCAGCGCCGCTGTGTCTCTGCAGGGAGCGGCCCTGAAGTTCCTGCCCTCCATTCTCGAGGACGTGTGTGGGATCCTCGACTCCTCCGTGCTGGGGTAGGGTCCTCATCACCCCCTTCACCCCCAACCTGCCGCAGCCGCGCCTGCCCCATCCCCTGTGGTGACCCCTCACCCTGGGAGCTGCCGGCGGGAACGCAGCCTGGTGCCCTTCAGTGCAAACCCTCCTGGGCTCGGGCTGCTCTGCGAGGTGGGGCAGCTCAGCCATGGAACAGCCCCGTCCCAGCCGCAGCACGGGGACAGCCGGTCCCGGCCCCCGGCGCTCGGGAAGGCCGCCGGCAGCAGCGGGTCCCACACGCTCCTCCGCAGGGCGCTGCTGCGGGACTTCATTGGGAACGTGCCACCGCAGCGGCTGCTGAGGCACAAGCTGCATTCCCTGAGCGGCATCGTCCACAGCAAAGCCTTCCAGTCCTACGGTGAGAGGGGAACCGGGGGGGCGGGTGCTGAGCCTCTGGGAAGGCCATGGAATGGGATGGAATGGGGACGAGTCCCTGCCTCAGTGACCCTCCTCTACCTGTGGTGCCCAGGTGGCTCTGCTGGGAGGGACACAATGCCCAGACCCCCACCGGGTGCAGCCAGGGCTATGGAGTGAACCATGGAGCTGCTGCGAAGGCTGGAGCAGCTCTGCTCTGGAGCCAGGCTGGGAGAGCTGGGCTGGGGCAGCCTGGAGAAGAGAAGGCTCCTGAAGGGGAGACCTTAGAGCAGCTCCAGTGCCTAAAGGGGCTGCAGGAAAGCTGGAGAGGGGCTTGGGACAAGGGCCTGTAGGGACAGGCCAAAGGGAATGGCTTTAAGCTGCCAGAGGGGAGACTGAGATGAGCTCTTAGGCAGAAGCTCTTCCCTGTGAGGGTGCTGAGGCGCTGGCACAGGGTGCCCAGAGCAGCTGTGGCTGCCCCATCCCTGGCAGTGCTCAAGGCCAGGTTGGACACAGGAGCTTGGAGCAAGCTGCTCTAGGGGAGGGGGTCCCTGCCCATGGCAGGGGTTGGGGCTGGGTGAGCTTTAAGCTCCTTTCAATACAAACCAGTCTGTGGTTCTGTGATAAGCAGTGTAAGGTGCTGGGAGCCTTAATGGTCCCTTGCTGCCTCTGAGGACAAGGTCACAGTCCCAGGTACCTCCGGAGTACAGGGTAGGATGCAGTGGGATGACCAGGTTTTTCATGGATTCAGCAGCAGAAGCCCTGGTTTGCCCAGCTGCTGCCCAGCTTAAAGTCTCCCAGCTTAAAGGGTTTCCCAGCTGAAGGAGCCTCTGTCTGTCCAATCTGAAGCACCTTCAGCAGAGCAGGGAAGCAGAACCAGGTCCACTGTGGAGCTGAAGCAAACCAGATTGATGAGGCTTTTTCGGTTGAGTTGACTGGCCTTTAGCTGTGTATCGGGGCAGCGGATTCCCTCCCTGGAGCTTTCTTGCCAGGACTCAATGTTGCTCCAAAACCCACTCCATGGAGGGGGAAGGTGACTGCTCCGTGCAGGGGAGTCGCAGCCCAGTGCAGACGTTGTGCTGGTCCCATCCATCCTGCTGGTCCCTGCCCTGCCCAGTGCTCCCGGTGCTCCTGGTGCTGGCAGCCACCATCCTGGCACCTCCGTGTCGCCCGCAGGTTGCCGGGAGCTGCTGCTGCAGGTGGCCGTGCCGCTGCTGCAGGACCTGGTGGCAAAGGGGGAGGAGGAGGAGGCCTGCATCGAGCTGCTCAGCAGCATCCTGGAGGTGCTGTACGAGGCCCAGAAGGTAAATCCCGTCCCCACGGCTCCTCCTTTCCCTCTCCAGTCATCACCTTGCAGCGACCTGAAAAACCCCTTTGAGAAGGGTTAAGCACGAGCTACTGGCCATGATATGGTTGGGGCTGGTGTTGGTCACCCAAAGTCAAAGGGGGCTGTTGGTGGCCACTGTCCCACTGGGAACCTGCCCACGATGGGGGGAAAACCCGTTTGATTTCCACCTCAGGTGCTCTCCAAAGAGCTCCCAAGCAATGGGGGAAGTGCAGAAGGTTCCTCCAAGCCCAGGGCCAGAGGATCAGGCGCTGCAGCACCAACTGTGCCTCTCACTGTCCCTGCCCTGCACACCAGGAGGATGGTGAGGGCAGGGAGAAGGTCCCTGGGCACCACTGCGCTCCAGAGTCAGCAGTGACAGACCTAAATGTGCTCCATGAGCAGGGAGCAGACCATGCCCCAGAGCCCCTGCCCAGTGCCAAAGGGACAAATCCTGCTGCCCCAGACACGGTGCTGCTGTGGGTGTCTGACCGCCCAGATGTGACCCATCCTCGATGCCTCCCATGGGCCAGGACTGTCTGTGCTGGCACCAGCCCCACATCCCGGGATCTGTTCATTGCAGAGAGCGGAGGAGCTGGAGACGCAACCCAGCACAGGCAAGGAGCGGCATCAGGAGCTGGTGAGTGCTGTGCTTGGCTTCAGTGCTTGACACATGGTGTGATGTGTCAGGAAGGGTTGATCTGCATCCCACTACAGTGACAAACCCACATGATCACCCAGAGCCAGAGCTGATGTGGTGATGCTGCAGGGATGCTGCAGTGTGGGACCAGCAGGGCTGGGGCCCACAGGGCTCTGTGCTTACTGGGATCCCCCAGCACCCTGTCCTGCCCTGAGGGGGGTCTGGACCCACACCTTCACCCAGGCCCCATGGACTTGGTGCTGTGTTGTGCACCTTCAGGTGCCTGGGAGAGGAGCGGGTGCTGGAGCACACCCGGGTGCTCGAGGCACATGTATGTGGTTGTGGTCCTGGAGCAGGTCTGGCAGAGCAGGGCCAGGGATGAAGGTTGCTTTTGCTAGAACACAGGAAGGATAAGGCAGCACTGGGGGATGCTGGGTTACGTCACTGCAGTGCCAGGCTGATGTACCAGGGTGCCAGGGGTGTTCACACCTCAGTAGCCATCCCCCTTGCCCCATGTTTAGATTGGATATAAGGAAGAAGTTCTTTCCTGTGAGGGTGGTGAGGCACTGGAATGGGTTGCCCAGGGAGGTTCTGAATGCTCCATCCCTGGTGGTGTTCAAGGCCAGGTTGGACAGAGCCTTGGGTGACGTGGTTTAGTGTGAGGTGTCCCTGCCCATTGCAGGGGGGTTGGAACTTGGTGATCTTAAGGTCCCTTCCAAACCTATTCCATGATTCTATGTTGCCTGGGTGCTCCCTCCACCCCAGGCCTATCTACAGCTACCCGCTGTCTCCCGGAGGCAGCAGTAACTGCCCTGCACACGCGGCCGGTGCCCCCAGCCCCGGGACCGCAGGAGCCGTGTGCCGGTGGCGCGGTTCCCATCAGCCCTGTGCCGATGCCGCCGCCCGTCCGCTCCCTCCCTCCCCGCCCCGCGGCCTCAGGCGCGGCCCCGACGCCCATTCCCTCGCAGGTGCGGGTGAAGCAGCACGTCCGGCTGGTCCTGGAGCGCCTCCTGCACCCCGTCACCCGCAGGGTGATCGTCCTGGACCGGGAGAGCTCCCTGCGGGTGAGTGCCGCGCCCCGGGGCTGCTGCCTGCGCGGGATGGGGCAGCTGCGGAGGGCTCCTGTGCCCAGCGCCGCAGCCCCGGGTCCCGCTGCCTGCGGGGGTGTGCGGGGGTTGGACGCGGCAGGGTGAGGGAGGGAAGGGGAGCAGCGCCGGGGGCAGCTCTGGAGCGGGGGAGGGCATTGGGAGGAGCAGGCAGTGCCCCTTTTGGGAAGCAGAGGAGGGCTTCGGGCTGTGCTCTATAGGAAACAGGCGACTGGAGCCGGTGAACAGTCACAGGTTCATGTGCCAAGATCACATGGGAGGAGCGGGGACACCTCGTGGAGGGGTGGGCAGGTCAGAGCTCTGCTCGGCCCCGGCTTCCAGCACCGACCCAGCACGAAGGAGGGGACCGGAGCTGTGGCCGGGGTGGCTCCACGGGCACCGATGGGACGTGGGGCAGAGCTGCTCCGGGACACGAGGAGCCGCGTCCCGTGCTCCGGGAGCCCGGAGGGAGCGATGGGGTTGGGCAGCAGCGGGGAAGCTCCGTGCCGTGGGGAAGCGCTGTCCCGTGGTGAAGGGCTTTGCCGTCGAGAAGTGCAGTGTCGTGGGGAATTGCTGTGCCATGGGGAAGGACCGTGCCGTGGGGCAGTGCTGTGCCGCGGGGAAGCGCCGCGCTGTGCTATGCTGTGCTGTGTTGTGCTGTGGCCGGGGAGGTGCTGGACGTCCGGAGCAGCATCTCAGCCGTTTGCCTTGAGCCTCGCCGGGCTAAGGCTGCAGTTTGCCATCCTGCTTTGTCCTTGTCCCTGAAGACCCGACTGACGGGGGTGCAGCAGCGGGATGGAAGCTCTTCCCCCACAGCCCACCCTCCCTGCGGGGGGTTGGGAACAGGTCTCACAGGGACCATTGTCCTGGTGCAGCCTCAGTGCCTGTGGTTACGGCGGGCTGCCCGAATACGGGGGGCAGCCCCTGCTCTGGGGCACAGGGATGGGCACCGGGAACACTGTGGCTGTTGGTGGCACTTGGGGAGCCCCAGTCCTGGGGCTGGGTGAGCGCTGCAGGGGAAGAGCCCCGAGCCCCATCCTCATCCTCAGCCCCATCCTCATCCTCACCCAGAACAGAAGCACACAGTGGAGAGGATGTAACAAAAATAGTGTCCCCGTGGGATTTACTGAGTTCCCATCACACATCGGCCCCGGCCCCTCGCCCTGGTGTCACACCAGGTCACGCACCCAGTTTACAGACCTGGTTGGTTCCACAGGGGCTTCATTGCTCTGAACCAAGGGTTAGAAATAGAAAAGCTGGTGCTACCAAACCCTGCCGGAGCAGGGGGGGACAGGGCAGGCCTCAGGGCTGGGCCGTGCCCGCTCACAGGAACCAGAAGCATTTCCGCCGGTGTTTCTTGGGGTCCATCTTCATGGGTGGTCTCAGCCCTGGTGATGGCTCCTGGCGCGGTGGCACCGCGGTGCCCACCACAGCCTCCGGGGAGCCGGGGGCCACGTCCCCATCCATATGGCTCAGCACACGCTGGAAGCGGCCCTCCTGCTGCCGGAAATCGTGCTCCACGCTGCAGGAATGGGGGAGCAGGGTCAGTGTCCCCGCATGGACATCTCCATGAGCCTGTGCCCCACTGCCACCTCCCTCCCTGCATCCCCCCCATGCTCAGCCCCACGCACGTTGCCAGGGCACGTCCCTGGGAGCCCCACTGCACTCCCAGGGTTGCTGGGATGCATGGGGTAGGGGGTGCAGGACCCATCCTGCTGCAGCGCTGCTGGCCTGTGGCTGTTGGGAATGGCTGAACCCACGTGAAGGGGCCTCGCACAGGAGCAGCCACTGGTGGGAGCCTGGGGAGCAGAGTGCCCCTAGGGGAGTTTTTATCATGGAACCATGGAATGGTTACAGCTGGAAGGGAACTTAAAGCTCCTCCAGCTCCAACCCCTGCCACGGGCAGGGACACCTTCCACTAGAGCAGCTTGCTCCAAGCCCCTGTGTCCAGACTGGCCTTGAGCACTGCCAGGGATGGGGCAGCCACAGCTCCTCTGGGCATTTAGAGTGAAGGAGCTCTGGTGAGGAGATGGAACAGGGACCAGCACAGCCAAGCTCAAGAGAAAGGCAGAGGCAGCGCCAGGCTCTGAGGATGGATGAGGAAGAAGGTGCAGGAGGGCAGCTGAGGGTGGCTGACCTCAAAAGCCGCCCTGTACCAGGTCAGGAGCTGTTTGTCCTGGCAGGAGGGACCTCTGGATGCTCCGGCACAGGAGGTGCCACACATCCAGCAGCAGACCCCAATGCGCAGCAGGACGGCTGCTTGCAATGGGTGACAGGCAGAAGCTGCCTGCAGGACATGGCAGTAGGATGTCCCTTCGCAGAGGCACATGGTGACCCCAGGAACCCTGCCCCAGAACCCCCCGTGTGCTGGGCTGTACCCCTAGAGCATGAGCAGCAGCTCAGGGAGGGGATCCTGCCCCTCTGCTGTGCTCTGGGGAGACCCCCCCCCACAGTCCTGATCCAGCTCTGGGGCATGCGAGGGCTGTGCTGCTGCCCATCAATCCCTGCACTGGGGATGCAAGGAACCAGGTGCCCTGGCTCTGTCTGGGTAGGGGAAGCTGGGGCTGTGCCCCCACTGCAGCCCTGAGGCTTCCTGAGGGTACCGGAGCCCCCCAGTATTCCCACAGCCTTGCTGGCTGTGCCGCGCTGCTTCCCCATGGGCCGCTGGGATCTCCTGCCAGCACATCCCATGGGATCAGGGGGTGCTGCAGGATGTGACGGCTCCGCACATGGGGAGCGTCTGTCACCTCCTGTCACCCCCCCTGCGGGACAGCGGCTGTCCCCAGCTGCTCCCAGCGGGAAGGACGAGCTGTGGCACAGTCCCATGGGGAGGGGGCGGTGCGGAGGACCCCAGCTCCCCAGCACGCAGTGCAGGGCTCATGGCTGCGATGGAGGTGCTTGGCTTGTGCGTACCCCTGGGATGGGACATGGGCAGGCAGGGCTGTACCCCCCCGTGGGTCACCCCTGGGTGCCGCCCCAGCTCCGGGCACCCAATGCCCAGGATTGCTGTGCCTCCACTGCCCACGTCCCACCAGAGCCTCTCCTCGCTCACGGCAGCGCAGCCCAGAGCAGCCCCAGCAGGGACTGGCCATCACAGGGGCCACCTCCAGGGATGTGACATCCTTGCACGGCTCCGCTGTGTGCAGACCAGGCAGGGCCCATTGGCACCCACAGCCCTGTGAGCTGCACCAGGGAAGCTCGTGGTGTAAACAGGAGGAGAACGAGAACTGAGGCAGCACCCGAGGGTGCGCAGGGGCTGCGCCCTCACCCGTTCCCCGTTGGTGGAATGGCCCTTTTCCAGCGGAGGAGAAGGCTCCCGTGGCCTGACCTAGAGCAGAGCCAAAGCCCTAGCGAGCAGCAGGAACCCCCTGTGTGACCAACAACCAACTGCAGCAACTCCCCTGCCAGCTGCAGCCTGGCAGCTCCCACCCTGGGAACCACCCCATCTCCTGGGAGCGGGAGCTGCAGAGACAAAGGGACCAGGCTCAGAGCAAGCACAAGCAGGGCTCTGCTCTGAAGGAGCTGGCTGCAGCCGTGAGGTGCCCGCACCCACATGGACACAGCCGTGAGGTGCCCGCACCCACATGGACACAGCCGTGGGGTGCCCGCACCCACAACGCACCCGGCAGCTCCAGGGACAGCGAGCCCCATACTGACCCCACTGCCACAGGAACAGATGCTCCCCACGTGCTCCTGCACCTTTTCCCTTTGAGGTCCCTGCAATGGCCTTTGCCAGGGTCAGGACCCGGCTCAGGAGGTCTCCACTGACCCCACGCAGCCGGGTTTGTGTCCTAGGGTGCTGGAGGTGTTTCTGGCACAAAGGAGGGACAACAGGGAAAGCTGTGCCTGTTTGTGCCATGTCCCCTTGGGTGTGGACAGGGTGAGACCCCGCGGCCCCTCACGACCACAGGGATAGAAGATGGGCACAGGCAGGTTCCCTCCCTCCCCAGCAGCGTCCCCCCGTACGTCTGTCCCGGAGCCCCAGCAGGAGCCTGCGGGACGCAGGAGAGCAGGGATCCCCCGGGAATGGGCAGGGAGCCGGGGTGGGCTCGTACCTGTAGATGATGCAGGCGCAGTCCCGGCAGGTGCCGCAGTTGGCGATGTCTTGCCCTGTCCGGTACGAGTGCCGCCTGAGGCAGAGCAGAGGCGCTGTGAGCCCGGAGAGCTGCCCTGCAGCAGCCAGGAGCCGGGACTGGCACCCCTGATCCCGGCTCCTCTCCTCCCTGATCCCGGCTCCTCTCCTTCCTGATCCCGGCTCCTCTCTTCCCTGATCTCGGCTCCTCTCCTCCCTGATCCTCTCCTCCCTGATCCCGGCTCCTTTCCTCCCTGATCCCAGCTCCTCTCCTCCCTGATTCAGGCTCCTCCCTGATCCCGGCTCCTCTCCTCTCTGATCCCGGCTCCTCTCCTCCCTGATCCCAGCTCCTCTCCTCCCTGGATCCCGGCTCCTCTCCTCCCTGGATCCCAGCTCCTCTCCTCCCTGGATCCCGGCTCCTCTCCTGTGATGCTGGTTAGTGCCAGGCCGAACGTGGTGGTGCCTCAGCAGACATGAGCAGGGCGGAAGCCCTGAATCTTTCACGCTGTGTCTGCCTTTCATCCCCATCCCAGAGCTGTGCCTTGTGCCACAGCCCCCCCCAGGTCACTGTGTGTGTCCCACACATGGCACTAGGGCAGGAGCGGGGGCACTGGCAACAAAGCAGTGCTCTGACAGATGGGCAGAGGCTCATCCGAGCCCACACCACACCCGGGGTTTATATCTTTTTGATGCTTTTGGACTGGAGAAGCATTTACGGAAGGACACAGGACTCAGATGAAGGCAAAGCTCTCTCCTGTGGTGCCCAACTGCTCTGGAGCCAGGCTGAGAGAGCCGGGCTGGGTCAGCCTGGAGAAGAGAAGGCTCCTGAAGGGGAGACCTTAGAGCAGCTCCAGTGCCTAAAGGGGCTGCAGGAAAGCTGGAGAGGGGCTTGGGACAAGGGATGTAG